CCAGAACCCCTCCTTGGCAGCACCTTTGGGACCCCTGAGGCACCTCTGGGACCCTCAGGGTGCCCAAACCCCTCCTTGGCATCGACTTTGGGACCTCTGAGGTACCTCCAGGATCCTCAGGGTACCCAGAACCCCTCCTTGACATCATCTTTGCGACCCTCAGGGTGCCCAGACCCCCCCTGGCAGCACCTTTGGGACCCCTGAGGCACCTCTGGGACCCTTGGGGCACCCAGACCCTCCCCTTGACAGCAACTCTGGGACCCTCAGGGTACCCAAACCCCTCCCTGGCAGCATCTCTGGGACCCCTGAGGCACCTCTGGGACCCTCAGGGTGCCCAAACCCCTCCTTGGCATCGACTTTGGGACCTCTGAGGTACCTCCAGGATCCTCAGGGTACCCAGAACCCCTCCTTGGCAGCACCTTTGGGACCCCTGAGGCACCTCTGGGACCCTCAGGGTGCCCAAACCCCTCCTTGGCATCGACTTTGGGACCTCTGAGGTACCTCCAGGATCCTCAGGGTACCCAGAACCCCTCCTTGGCAGCACCTTTGGGACCCCTGAGGCACCTCTGGGACCCTCAGGGTGCCCAAACCCCTCCTTGGCATCGACTTTGGGACCTCTGAGGTACCTCCAGGATCCTCAGGGTACCCAGAACCCCTCCTTGACATCATCTTTGCGACCCTCAGGGTGCCCAGACCCCCCCTGGCAGCACCTTTGGGACCCCTGAGGCACCTCTGGGACCCTTGGGGCACCCAGACCCTCCCCTTGACAGCAACTCTGGGACCCTCAGGGTACCCAAACCCCTCCCTGGCAGCATCTCTGGGACCCCTGAGGCACCTCTGGGACCCTCAGGGTGCCCAAACCCCTCCTTGGCATCGACTTTGGGACCTCTGAGGTACCTCCAGGATCCTCAGGGTACCCAGAACCCCTCCTTGGCAGCACCTTTGGGACCCCTGAGGCACCTCTGGGACCCTCAGGGTGCCCAAACCCCTCCTTGGCATCGACTTTGGGACCTCTGAGGTACCTCCAGGATCCTCAGGGTACCCAGAACCCCTCCTTGGCAGCACCTTTGGGACCCCTGAGGCACCTCTGGGACCCTCAGGGTGCCCAAACCCCTCCTTGGCATCGACTTTGGGACCTCTGAGGTACCTCCAGGATCCTCAGGGTACCCAGAACCCCTCCTTGACATCATCTTTGCGACCCTCAGGGTGCCCAGACCCCCCCTGGCAGCACCTTTGGGACCCCTGAGGCACCTCTGGGACCCTTGGGGCACCCAGACCCTCCCCTTGACAGCAACTCTGGGACCCTCAGGGTACCCAAACCCCTCCCTGGCAGCATCTCTGGGACCCCTGAGGCACCTCTGGGACCCTCAGGGTGCCCAAACCCCTCCTTGGCATCGACTTTGGGACCTCTGAGGTACCTCCAGGATCCTCAGGGTACCCAGAACCCCTCCTTGGCAGCACCTTTGGGACCCCTGAGGCACCTCTGGGACCCTCAGGGTGCCCAAACCCCTCCTTGGCATCGACTTTGGGACCTCTGAGGTACCTCCAGGATCCTCAGGGTACCCAGAACCCCTCCTTGGCAGCACCTTTGGGACCCCTGAGGCACCTCTGGGACCCTCAGGGTGCCCAAACCCCTCCTTGGCATCGACTTTGGGACCTCTGAGGTACCTCCAGGATCCTCAGGGTACCCAGAACCCCTCCTTGACATCATCTTTGCGACCCTCAGGGTGCCCAGACCCCCCCTGGCAGCACCTTTGGGACCCCTGAGGCACCTCTGGGACCCTTGGGGCACCCAGACCCTCCCCTTGACAGCAACTCTGGGACCCTCAGGGTACCCAAACCCCTCCCTGGCAGCATCTCTGGGACCCCTGAGGCACCTCTGGGACCCTCAGGGTGCCCAAACCCCTCCTTGGCATCGACTTTGGGACCTCTGAGGTACCTCCAGGATCCTCAGGGTACCCAGAACCCCTCCTTGGCAGCACCTTTGGGACCCCTGAGGCACCTCTGGGACCCTCAGGGTGCCCAAACCCCTCCTTGGCATCGACTTTGGGACCTCTGAGGTACCTCCAGGATCCTCAGGGTACCCAGAACCCCTCCTTGGCAGCACCTTTGGGACCCCTGAGGCACCTCTGGGACCCTCAGGGTGCCCAAACCCCTCCTTGGCATCGACTTTGGGACCTCTGAGGTACCTCCAGGATCCTCAGGGTACCCAGAACCCCTCCTTGACATCATCTTTGCGACCCTCAGGGTGCCCAGACCCCCCCTGGCAGCACCTTTGGGACCCCTGAGGCACCTCTGGGACCCTTGGGGCACCCAGACCCTCCCCTTGACAGCAACTCTGGGACCCTCAGGGTACCCAAACCCCTCCCTGGCAGCATCTCTGGGACCCCTGAGGCACCTCTGGGACCCTCAGGGTGCCCAAACCCCTCCTTGGCATCGACTTTGGGACCTCTGAGGTACCTCCAGGATCCTCAGGGTACCCAGAACCCCTCCTTGGCAGCACCTTTGGGACCCCTGAGGCACCTCTGGGACCCTCAGGGTGCCCAAACCCCTCCTTGGCATCGACTTTGGGACCTCTGAGGTACCTCCAGGATCCTCAGGGTACCCAGAACCCCTCCTTGGCAGCACCTTTGGGACCCCTGAGGCACCTCTGGGACCCTCAGGGTGCCCAAACCCCTCCTTGGCATCGACTTTGGGACCTCTGAGGTACCTCCAGGATCCTCAGGGTACCCAGAACCCCTCCTTGACATCATCTTTGCGACCCTCAGGGTGCCCAGACCCCCCCTGGCAGCACCTTTGGGACCCCTGAGGCACCTCTGGGACCCTTGGGGCACCCAGACCCTCCCCTTGACAGCAACTCTGGGACCCTCAGGGTACCCAAACCCCTCCCTGGCAGCATCTCTGGGACCCCTGAGGCACCTCTGGGACCCTCAGGGTGCCCAAACCCCTCCTTGGCATCGACTTTGGGACCTCTGAGGTACCTCCAGGATCCTCAGGGTACCCAGAACCCCTCCTTGGCAGCACCTTTGGGACCCCTGAGGCACCTCTGGGACCCTCAGGGTGCCCAAACCCCTCCTTGGCATCGACTTTGGGACCTCTGAGGTACCTCCAGGATCCTCAGGGTACCCAGAACCCCTCCTTGGCAGCACCTTTGGGACCCCTGAGGCACCTCTGGGACCCTCAGGGTGCCCAAACCCCTCCTTGGCATCGACTTTGGGACCTCTGAGGTACCTCCAGGATCCTCAGGGTACCCAGAACCCCTCCTTGACATCATCTTTGCGACCCTCAGGGTGCCCAGACCCCCCCTGGCAGCACCTTTGGGACCCCTGAGGCACCTCTGGGACCCTTGGGGCACCCAGACCCTCCCCTTGACAGCAACTCTGGGACCCTCAGGGTACCCAAACCCCTCCCTGGCAGCATCTCTGGGACCCCTGAGGCACCTCTGGGACCCTCAGGGTGCCCAAACCCCTCCTTGGCATCGACTTTGGGACCTCTGAGGTACCTCCAGGATCCTCAGGGTACCCAGAACCCCTCCTTGGCAGCACCTTTGGGACCCCTGAGGCACCTCTGGGACCCTCAGGGTGCCCAAACCCCTCCTTGGCATCGACTTTGGGACCTCTGAGGTACCTCCAGGATCCTCAGGGTACCCAGAACCCCTCCTTGGCAGCACCTTTGGGACCCCTGAGGCACCTCTGGGACCCTCAGGGTGCCCAAACCCCTCCTTGGCATCGACTTTGGGACCTCTGAGGTACCTCCAGGATCCTCAGGGTACCCAGAACCCCTCCTTGACATCATCTTTGCGACCCTCAGGGTGCCCAGACCCCCCCTGGCAGCACCTTTGGGACCCCTGAGGCACCTCTGGGACCCTTGGGGCACCCAGACCCTCCCCTTGACAGCAACTCTGGGACCCTCAGGGTACCCAAACCCCTCCCTGGCAGCATCTCTGGGACCCCTGAGGCACCTCTGGGACCCTCAGGGTGCCCAAACCCCTCCTTGGCATCGACTTTGGGACCTCTGAGGTACCTCCAGGATCCTCAGGGTACCCAGAACCCCTCCTTGGCAGCACCTTTGGGACCCCTGAGGCACCTCTGGGACCCTCAGGGTGCCCAAACCCCTCCTTGGCATCGACTTTGGGACCTCTGAGGTACCTCCAGGATCCTCAGGGTACCCAGAACCCCTCCTTGGCAGCACCTTTGGGACCCCTGAGGCACCTCTGGGACCCTCAGGGTGCCCAAACCCCTCCTTGGCATCGACTTTGGGACCTCTGAGGTACCTCCAGGATCCTCAGGGTACCCAGAACCCCTCCTTGACATCATCTTTGCGACCCTCAGGGTGCCCAGACCCCCCCTGGCAGCACCTTTGGGACCCCTGAGGCACCTCTGGGACCCTTGGGGCACCCAGACCCTCCCCTTGACAGCAACTCTGGGACCCTCAGGGTACCCAAACCCCTCCCTGGCAGCATCTCTGGGACCCCTGAGGCACCTCTGGGACCCTCAGGGCACCCAGAACCCCACCTTGGCAGCAACTTTGGGACCCTCAGGGTATCCCAACCCCTCCCTGGCAGCACCTTTGGGACCCCTGAGGTATCTCCAGGACCCTCAGCGTACCCAGACCCCCCCCATGTCAGCAGCACTGAGACCCCCAGAGCACCTGGACCCCTCAGCAGTATCTCCAAGGACCACCAAGGCCGTGGGACACCCGAATGTCAGCACCTCAGGGACCCCCATACTCCAGAACTCCCCTAATCAGCACCTCAGGGACCCCCAACACCCCAGAAGCCCTGAAGTCAGCACCTCAGGGACCCCCAAATCAGCACCTCAGGGACCCCCAACACCCCAAAACCCCCCATCTCAGCACCTCAGCGACCCCATCTCAGCACCTCCAGAACCCTGGACCCACTAAGACCCCCCAAACCCCCCCCATTTCAGGACCCCACCCCCCTGTCCATCCCCATTTCCCGGTGGCGACCCCGGGGGCTGCCAGGGGGGCTGGGGGCTCACCCAGGGTGACGAGGACGTGGCGGATCTCGGCCCCCATGACGGTGCCGTTGCCCTCCTTGTCGAACACCCGGAGCCCCTCCACGTAGTCCTCGAAGCAGCCCTGGTCCTTGTTCTTGGCGATGGTTTGCATCATGGGCAGGAACTGCTCGAAGCTCAGCGTCTTCACGTTCATCTCTGCGGGACAGGGACGGTGGGGAGGGGTCTTTCTCCAGGGGGATTTTGGGGGAGGGGCATCTGCTGCTGGGGGTTTGGGGGTGGGAGTCTCTGGTGCTGAGGATTTAGGGGGAGTCTCACTGGTGCTGGGGGTTTGGGTCTCACAGTGCTCAGGGA